AAAAAAAAAAAAAAAAAAAGTCATTTGTCAGTCATTAAACATTTTCCAGTCTCCTGCTTACCTGGATTCAGGCTGCAGCAGCAGTACGTCCATTAGTAGGGTTTCTTTGCAACTCATGCAAGCTGGACCACACACTGCTTGTACACCAAAATAAACAAGCAGGAGATATAATGAAAGGAAGGTGATTTTATCCCAAAAGCTGGCAGATGGGGAAACGACCAGGCTCTAGCCTGAAACTATTTCTGCTTTTTTAGACTGAGTTCAAGTTTTTAGAAAGGGAAACTTGGTAGGGAAAACATGCAGGTATGGCACAGGTTGTATCTTGATGGCTTATCTTGGGTGGTGGTCCTCTCAGAGGGCTGGTTGATTCAGGTTATTGGATCAACCTTCTTGTGACTGCCCACAGTGGGAGGGTCGTAGTCAGGCTATTATAACATATTTGTGACCGGCAAATTTTCCACTTTCCTAATACCGAGAGCAGGTGAAAACAAAAAAAAATCTGAAGCTGATTGCCACAAACTTCTGTTGTTAAGCATAAGTGAAATGGTCTTTTTCTTTTTTTGAGCTGGAGTCTCACTCCGTTGCCCAGTCTGGAGTGCAGTGGCATGCTCCTGGCTACCCCAGCGTCGACCTACTGGGCTTTGCCTCAGCCTTCCAAGTAGCCAGAACTGCGTGCACTACCACACCTAGCTAATTTTTTATTTATTTTAGAGACAAGTTCTCACCAAGTTGCCCAGGCTGGTCTCGAACCCACGGACTCAGGCAGTCCACTTGCCTCAGCCTCCCAAAGTGCTGGGATTACAAACTGAGCCGCTGAGCCCTACTGAAATGGTTTTTTTCTAAACTGTCACTTTTTTTTTTTTTTTTTGAGTTGGAGTCTCACTCTGTCGCTAAGGCTTGAGTGCAGTGGCATGCTCACGACCACTGTAGCCTCCACCTGCTGGGCTCAGATGATCCTTCTGCCTCAGCCTTCCAAGTAGCTGGAACCACAGGTGTGTGCCACCATGCCTGGCTAATTTTTTATTTGTTTTAGAGACGAGGTCTCACCAAGTTACCCAGGCAGGTCTCAAACTCCTGGACTCAGGCAATCCTCTCGCCTCAGTGTACCAAAGTGCTGGAATTACAGGTGTGAGCCACCATGCCTGGCTGTCACCTTTTTCACAATCCATTTGAAAGTTGCAAACATACCCAGGGTTTTCCTCAGACACCACTCCAACTAGCATTCCATACTTCGTATTTTTATTTGAATTATAAACTAAATATATAGTATTCACAAACAGAATTTGGAATGCCATAAATTCATGTCAGCAGCAACCAGGAACAGAATTTGGAATGATGTAATTTCATGTCAGTGATCATGAATGAGTTGAGATTAGTCCCTGTGATTTCTAAGCAAGGATAAGATCAGATAAGGGAGCATGGTGGGAGAGTGTCTGGTAGATAATGGGAGAAAATTTTCTAAAACGTGTTTTAAGGCTTAAGATTAAGAAAGCGAGGAAAAAACAATACCTTTACACCTTCAGCTGAAACTAAGCTATAGGAAGCATAAAGCCAGATTTTCACTTATTTTTTATTTTTATTTTTGAGTTGAGGTCTCACTCTGTTGCCCAAGCTGGAGTGCAGTGGCATGATCACAACAGTCACAACTCACCACAGCCTCAACCTCTTGGGCTCAGGCAATCCCTCCACCTCAGCTGGGTAGCTGGGACTACAGACGTGTGCCATCAGGCCCAGCTAATTTTTATTTTATTTTATTTTTTGTAGAGATGAGGTCTCACCATGTTGCCCAGGCTGATCTTGACATCCTAGGCTCAAGCATTCCACCTGCCTTGACCTCCCAAAGTGCTGGGATTATGGGCGTGAGCCACTGCACCCAGCCAGATTCTCCCTTATTAAAAGGAGTGAGGCTGGCTCAGATAAACTGTGAAGGAAATGCAGTGTAACCCAGTGATTTAGGACAAAGGGTGTTTGAAGGCCATTGTGCTCTCCAAAATGATGGGGAAATAGGCCTTTTCCCCTTTACTTCGTTTCTGAAATCACGTGTGATTTAGAATCCTTCTTTTTGTGTCTGTTAACTTTCAGTGCAGTAATATGGTTGATGGTAATTTGGAAGACACTCCCAGGGAGATGGTAATTGAGTTCAATCCTCCATTGTACAGACAGCGGTATCAATTTGTTAAAGATTTAGTGGATGAACGGGAACCCAAGAAGGTACGTTATTTCTCTTTCCAAATATTTAATTACTAAGTCTGCCTTTTTTTTTTTCTTTTTCTTTTTGAGTCGAAGTCTCGGTCTGTCACCCAGGCTGGAGTACAGTGGCAGGATCATGGCTCATTGCAGCCATGACCTCCTGGCCTCAGGCAGTCCTTCTGCCTCAGCCTCCCCAGTGTCTGGCACTACAGGCGCGTGACACCCGCCTGACTGAATTTTTGATTTTGAGACAAAGTCTTGCTTTGTTGCCCAGGCTGGTCTCAAAGTCTTAATCTCAAACATTCCTCCTGCCTCAGCCTCCCAAAGTGCAGGGATTATGGGTGTGAGCTACTGTGCCCGGTGCAGGGTTATTTTTAAACTGGTATATCTTTTTTTTGTTTTTGTTTTTTTTTTTGAGTTGGAGTCTCACTCGATCGCCCAGACTGGAGTGCAGTGGCCGCTCCCGGCCACCGCAGCCTCGACCTGCTGGGCCCCGGCGATCCTTCTGCCTCAGCCTTCTGAGTAGCCGGAATTACAGGCATGCGCTACCACACCCGGCTGATTTTTTGATTTATTGTAGAAAGGAGGTCTTGCTGCCCAGGCAGGTCTCGAACCCGCGGGCTCAGGCAATCCACTCACCTCAGCCTCCCAAAGGCGCGGGATTATAGGCTGAGCCACCGAGCCCGGCTTAAACTGGTGTATCTTTGTGCCAAGGGTTTTCATCCCTATTCTACCTCCTGATGGTGTGGAAAGAGGTATAGATACATATATTCGCCTAATGTTGTGTACTAACCAAAATAAAAAAATAAAAATAACCCACATTCTCCCACAGACTGTCTTATAAATTAAGGCTTATCATGCAATTAAACACTATGTGGCCATGAAAAATGAAGTGTATCTGCTTATGCAAACATGGAAGAATGGCTAAGAGATATCACAGAGTGACAAAAACCTGTTTGATATCTATGGAGGGCCATTGCCTTGCTAGACTCTGGTGTGGCCATGTGCTCTTTGAGCTATGGCGGTCGCCATGCTTCCTGGCTTTGGCCCCTTCCCCTACCTTGGGGAGGTGAATCTTCTCTCTCCCTTCTCTTTCTCGCTCTAATTTATTTTTATTTTTATTTTTAATTTATTTATTTTTATTTTTTATTTTTTGAACTGGAGTCTCACTCTGTTGCCCAAACTGGAGTGTAGTGACCACTCCCGGCCACCGCAGCCTCGACCTGCTGGGCTCTGGCGATCCTTCCACCTCAGCCTTCCGAGTAGCTGGAATTACAGGCGCGCGCTACCACACCCGGCTGATTTTTGATTTATTGTAGAGATGAGGTCTTGCCAAGTTGCCCAGGTGGGTCTCGAACCCACAGGCTCAGGCAGTTCACTCACCTCAGCCTCCCAAGGTGCGGGATTACAGGCTGAGCCACCGAGCCTGGCTTAATTTATTTTTAAATAAACTATATATATATATATATA